CTGAAAAATAGATCTAGGGGATATATCTAGAGACTCTCTCGAGAGAGCAGAGAGAGAGAGAGAGAGAGCGAGAGAGCGAGAGCGCGAGAGAGAGAGAGAGAGAGAGAAGAGTCTCTCTCTCTTCTCTCTCTCTCTCTCTCTATCTCTCTCTCTCTTCTCTCTCTCTATCTCTCTCTCTCTCTCTATCTCTCTTCTCTCTCTCTCTCTCTCTCTCCTCTCTCTCTCTCTCTCTCTCTCTCTCTCTCTCTCTCTCTTCTCTCTCTCTCTCTCTCTCTCTCTGCTCTTCTCTCTCTCTCTACTCTCTCTCTCTACTCTCCTCTCTCTCTCTAGTTCTCTCTCTCTCTCTCTCTCTCTCTCTCTCTCTCTTCTCTCTCTCTCTCTCTCTCTCTCTCTCTCTCTCCTCTCTCTCTCTCCTCTCCTCTCCCTCTCTCTTTCTCTCTTCTCCCTCTCTCCCTCCTCTCCCTACACTTCGTCTGGCATTGACACACTATGAAACACCCCCAGACCGACAAAGGACGCCACACGTCCACTGGGACGGCCTCGCCGTTCAGAAGTCCGATCGTCGAGTCGGATCACGAGCCAGCTGTCGGTACGTGTTGCGACGCTTCGACGGGCCGGACGAAAGGCCTGTCCGGCTCCAGGCAAGCGATTTCCAGGCGCGCCACGGACAAACAGAACCAAGACGCGGTCGCCACACGTCCCTGTCCGCCGCAGCACCGTACACCAATGTCTACGGAAATAATGCGCGACCATGACCGCCACCCTGTCTAGCAGCTATATCAAGCGCGACGCCGGACGACAGCCTCCTCCACAATCACCGTCCGAGATCGTGTGAAGACTGGACCCTGCACACGGGACAGCGTGCTGCTCCGGCCTTTCGGCCTTCCCGCCGGCTGTTGACTTACCTCGTCTGTGGTCCTGACGCGTCCTCGGACTGGCGACCGCGTCCCCTTGCGGCGAGTCGATGACTCGATCTGGCCGGCGGCGCTGCCGCGGCCTGGCGGACGGATACCGGCGGCGATCAGCAGCGAGAGCGCGCCGCTGGCACCTCCGCACGCGTCGGCCGCTCCGACAGCGACGACGCGGCGACGGCCGGTCGTCGGTCTCGGCGCGGCGATCCGGAGCGACTGCGGCGGCGGCGGTGGCGGCCGGCGGCGTCGGTGGCCGTCGGCGCACGCTCGACCCGCGCGGGCGCTTACCTGCGCGGTCGGGTCAGGTGGTCAGGAGCAGCTACCTGCGCAGTACCGCCGGACGGTGCTGGGATGGTGGGGCACGAGCGGCTGATTGCACGCGCCGTGGGGAGAGCGGTGGTGGCATGGAGGCACTGAGCGGTCGGCTGACTCCGCTACCGGACCGAGCGGTGGGACCGCACAGCAGGTCACGTCGGCGGGGGCTGTTGACACTGACGCGGTCCGCTACTTGTCGCTGCCAGACACGGCAGCGACTTGCGTTGCCGTATGGAATGGATGCATATTGGAACGATATCAGTAGGATGTCGTTGTTGCAAAGAGAAAACATGCATCCAGAAATTCCACACATACCTGCGCTGAAGGAGTGTAAGACGGTACGCTCTAAATTCTGGCAGTGGCAAAGGGATGCCCCGACAGTCACTATCTCTGCGTGTAAGAATGCCTGTGGTGTCGGACCAGACAGTAACTGAAGCGTCAACAAATTCACCCCTTCAACTGAAGGGATGGTGTGAGAACACTATGAGAGCGCTGTTGATGAGATTTTGCGCTACTGGAAGTTTAAAGCATTGCCGAAAATAGAGCAGTGAACCTCACTTCTCGCATGGCTGAGGGGACACGGTCATTTAACACGCGCTCGGGTGGGGGGTCAAATTGACCTCTCCCCCGAAGGTTTTTCCAGAATGGTTTCCGAACGGCGCGGCGTAGACGCGCCACATTTTGCACAGCTGTAGACAATTGAATAGCGGATCGTTTGGCATCAAAAATTTAGATGTACCTTGTAAGGTCGCTGACATATGGCAGATGAAAAACAGGCCATGGTTTCAGCGAAGACAGTTTCTAGGTAATGGTCCAATCTGATGCAACAACGGAGTGTTCGACGAAGCCATACATTTCGAAGATGCTTTCTTATACACCATGAATATGGAATGAGCAAATTACGTTGACCTAAGGTCAGGTATGAAGGTCAGACCAAGGTCAAAACCAACCTGATTTATTTCTCAAGGGCTTGCTTTATGGGATAGATTGTGGTGCTCATTTCAAATTTATTAACAGCAAGAACCACCTTATGATATTCCATTGACTTCTTAAGGGTCAGAGCAGGTCATTGACCTAAGATGACCCGGATCGACATTTTGTTCTAAGAACATACTGCCTAGCACAATCTTTGTCGCTTAATCACATAATGTTCAGAGCAGTCTTGTATGATTTTGGTCACCATAACGTTCAAAAGGTCAAACAAGGTCACTGACCTCAAATAGGCTTGTGATTTTTTGCTTAGGAGCAGTTGCCTAGGTTCTGGGGGCACTTTAGAGATCAACCTGTAATTTGGCTTTGTTTGACCTTATTTGACCTGAAGGTCATAGCCTAGGAAGCTCAAACTTTTGGTCTAAGTGAGTTCACGTACAGGTCAAGACACCCTGTAAATTTGGTGTCTCTAGCTTTCTTATTTCCCGAGATCTCAGGGGGTCCATTTGATCCCTCTCCCCCACCCGAGCGAAGGGCATCTAGCCGGCCACCCGGGCGCGTGTTAATTACGAGAGTTGTTGATGCCAGGGGGCTATCGAGGATTACCAGTGACCTGCGTCAGCCGAGAAACATCTCGTCAACGCATGACCTCCGGTCTCAGATCAGGCCCCGCACAGAATCGCCTGACCCGCGGCTTATGATGGACCGTTTCCGAATCAATGCCACCATAAGTGATGCGTCCTGGAGCTGAACACTGAATATGGAACGACGAGAACGTGTGGAGTCCACTCTTCACACAGGTCTGATCCGATCACAGAGTCCACTCTTCCTATATGTCTGATCCGATCGCAGAGTCCACTCTTCACATAGGTCCGATCCGATCACAGAGTCCACTCTTCACCTCATCCGTGTACGAGTCCGAGTCCAGCAGTTTTGGGGTGTGTGTCGTATTTAAGTCCCTCGACTTCGAGTCTGAGCTTGAGTCCTGTGACCTTTTGTCCGGAGTCCGATTTCGCCCATTCAACAGCACAACTCGGCGTCAGAGCCACGAACCTGGCTCCCAGCACCGCGAGTCCGAATCACACCGCGTTGATTCTCATACCGCGTATCTTGGCTCTGAGGTAACGCGTCGCAGAGGAGACCATCTTGTAGGCACTAGCACTGCTGCTGAAATATCTGAACGGTGGATGTAGGGCAAAGTCGGCCAAAGAAGCCGATATAAGATCATCTGTGCAATTGAACGAACTACCACGCAGCGGACTATGGTTAATCAGATACGCATACAATACGCTCACATGGAGGGTCATTAGTGGTTGGTGTGCTGAGGGGTTTCCCGACAGGAGCACTCGGAGGAGCCCTTCCAGGGTGCAGCAGTAGCTAAAGGCCCTCAACGTCTGTTTTCATAGAAACCAACTCCGGGCCTTGAGACCTCGATAATATGATAACACGACCCTGACCTTGATCACGCGACATATCTATGATACCCCTTGATCACGTGCTGTCTCAGCACCTCGGGTCCGATTCTCTTCACTGCAACGGTAAAGATCCTTTGGATACCAAAATGGTTGGTGCTGTGAATGAACTTTAAAAGCAGATTCCACTTGGCAAGGAAAACGAACAAAAAATCAGGCCCCGCAGACAATATTGCGGTGTGGAGGGCTGGCAGGCGTTTGGGGACTTTGGATGAGTACACGACAGAATAGTTTCTAATGGTCCGCCTAGGGGCAGCAGCGGCTACGACAGTTAGGACCTTCAATTTTTATAGGAGAATCCAGTGACGTAGCCAGAATTTGGCCAAGGAGAGTCCCAAATCATGACACAGGAAACCCTTTTACCAAAGGGAGCCCACTTCTCCGCTACATGGCCCTGTTTTAGACTTTGTGAACCTCCTTCGTCCCTGTTGTGATGCCTCGAGAAACAGTTTTTGATCATTTAAAGCGCTAAGAGTGTATTAAACCAACAAAACGTCCTGGAATAATCGGCCTCAGGCGGTAGGGCGCCTCCATCAGGGAAGACATGTTCCCTAAATCTTTCCCATCTTCCGAGCCCCCACCTTGGCTCCGACACAGGGCGAATTTCCTGTCTATAACGGCGCTCTTTTTTATTGGTACATCTGATGGTATTGCTATGTGCCCTTCCGACGTTCTGGAGCCTTGTAGGTGTAGTCCGCTTGAATGCTGTCTATGCTGGGTGCCAATTGGGCCTCTGAGGTCTCGGAATTTACGAGGCTAATTTTATCGTTCGAGGCCTTAGAATGACTGCTGGCGTGTGAAGCCATTCTGGATATCATCTGAACATGACAATGACGTATTCAGAAGGCCAAAATTTAGGAAACATTATTCGGCAGTTTGGCGCGTTTGGCGAATCAAAGCAGAATATTGAAAAATGGTTGCAGGCATCCATAGAGTATTATGCAATGCATAAAAGCTCCTTGTGTACCTCTGACGAATTAAGGAATAAAAGTTAGAGGTGTGCATTTCACCTCAGCCTGCAACTACAAAATGTACTTTATTTGCCTTGTTCAAGTGGGCTAAAAATGCTAAGCACGGCCAAATATGAGAAATTAGGCAAACACTAATTGCCCTTAAATGTTAGTGATGAACTCAGGTATATTCAGCAGGAGACTGAAAGCAAGAATCGTGTGAAAATAATACATGCTAACGAAACCACGACGATTGACAACATGCCGAATTATTTTATTCATGACCAAATGCTTGTAAGAACGCACCGCCCATCTGATTTTTGTTTTAGTGAATACAGAATGTCACATGAAAGGGAAGATTTTATACGGGTAAAGGCATCCTGTAAATTCATTGTGTGCCAGGGGTATTCAAATCAGTTAGCAGCAGGGATGTAGCCAAGGGAGGGCGGGGAGTCCGGCTCCCTCCTCCCCCTCCCTAATGCCTGGATGTTTTTATTTTTGACTGAAGGCGGCTTCCGACAGAGAGTACAAAGTCGGTGTGATTCGTACTGACTGACGTTACTACACCTTTCTTTTAGAAAATCCTGGCTGCGCCCCTGGTTATGGAAGCAAAATGCATAATACCCATTTTCGTGCTATCCGATATCCTTCGTTATATTCTTCCGTTACGTTTTGTCGACAATATGGAAAATCAGAGGGGTATAACGTACAGCTTGATATCACACAAACTGGAATTCCCGTAAAAAAGTTGGTATCGAGATATTCAACCCCGTCCATAGTATCTAGTATTGTACATTTCAATATGTGCCTCTAAATACTACCGTGATCTATGTGCATGCACGCATTATGCCGGCGGTCGGGAAAACCAAAACAATATTGCTCGATAGATGAACCAAAAGCGAATTTTATTTCAGGCCCCAGATCTCTCTTAGTCAAGTTACCAGGCGCTGTGGCGGATGAACCTTGTTAGAGTCGGGAGGGGAATGCCAGCTTTAAAAGACATTCGCGATTATGAAATTCGTGTGTTAATGTTCATGCTGTCCATGCTTAAGAGTAGCTCTCCCTTCTGCCCACCCTTAACCTTCAACCGTTGACCCTGCTCTGACACGGCCCTAGTACATGCAATTTTGCGATTCGCTAAGCTATTCTACACTGTATGTTCCGATTAAATTTATAATTCTATATAATTTATAAATCTATACAACTAACCTCCAGATCAGCAGATGATGATTTCGAGATTAGTATTTCACGAAACATGGGGAATGTTGAGCCAAGCAAAGTAGGATGGAAATAAATTCCAGGAGAGCACTCGCACCAAAGGCTTCCCCGAACGCAGCCGGGCTGGACCGCTGTCGGATCCTCGTGTACGGTTGCCCGCTCTCCAGATGGTCCATTATTGCGGCGATCAATAATGAAAGGGGCGAGATAACACAGCAATGCA